GGGTAAACCCGCCTATTCAGGTAACCCTAGCTGCCCTATAAACACGACAAAGAAAAAAAAGAGGAAATGTGTGATTGCCAGGGAAACCCGCTTGCTAGGGTAACCCTCTCATTGTTAACAGGCCCTTAGGAATCGGTAAAGCTGCGTTTTCAAATTCCTCCGGCACAGTGTGAACGGGGCCCACATCAAGGGTCAGAAAGGTCTACATTATTGGCCCATTTTACGGGGTTCATGGGTTTGAAAAGGGAGTATCAGTGGGGGGAGGGGTTTAAACAGGGGGATGAACTAAAGGAAGCAATAGACAGCTGAACGAAAAGTAGTCTGTAAAAAGGAGATGCTCGGTGCACGACCCAAAGAAGGGGTTTTGCAGCACGGAGTTATTCGTTTTCTTTTATATTCGAAAAAATAAAAATAGACATAACCGGGCAAGTAAAAGTTTAAAACTTTCTTTTACTTCTAAAATTGCGTCAACGATATCAAATTGACTCGTTTTGCTTTCGAGGTGCGTCAGAAGTTTGAAGCCGTTCCGCGTGATCAGAAATCGTTCCCGAACACGTCAGACACGCAGTGGAGATATAATAAATATCTTACTAACCTCGTTTTCTCGGTCCGTACTGTAAGTTACGGATCCTCCTTTTTCCCCTTTGATTTATGTCCCGCAACCGGGCCTTAAATCGATGGGGGAAAAAACTCGGTCCGTAACTTACAGTGCGGCCCAGGAACTCACTTATGAAAAGGTATGCACACAGCATGGGAATCTGACTGAAACTTAGCAAGATCACAAAAGCCGAACGCTGGTCGCTTTTTTCGATACAAAAAATGACCGCTTAATGGAGGCTTGATTGTACCGGGTTAACACACTTTAATCCATGATCAACTGTTAGTAACCTAACACTATCAATCTTTCCCTTAGGCACTGTCGCACATACTTCCACACTTTTGTAAAATAAAAGCCGTTTACCAATGTGTCTGACGTAGACTGACCACAAAGACAATACAACAAACCAGATTCTTTCCAAGTTTCAAAATTTTATTTTACAGCTCTGAAAGCAGGGTTTATTCCCTGGATTTCATCTTTTCACGTGCCATCTTCTT